TGTGGAGAATGGGAGAGAAGGAGAAAGGGGTCAGGGAGAGAAGGGGCAGAGAGAGTAAGAGATTGAGGAGGGGACAAACAGCCCCCTTTTATAGTAAGCCAGGCATACCTGGCTGTTGCCAGGTAACTGTGGGGCAGAGCCTAGAAAGAATGCTAACATTTCTTTATTTTGGCTTAATTTAAAAAAGGAAAAGCTAGAAAGAGGTGAAGCGGGAATTGGGTCGTTGTGATCTTTAGCTACTTCCTGCTGACTCTGGGTGACATGTCTCTGGGAAGCCTAAGAAAATGAGTGTGGGGTTGTTGGTCCAGTCTCAGGAGAGTTGGCTGTTTCCTTGTTGTCCAGGGTCTGTGGAACCATCTGTGGGTAAGAAGGAGCAGGTCCAGTAGAACTGTCTGAGTCTGTGAGAGTAGATTAGAGTACTGTGGGTTGCTTCTCTGGAGCTGTCCTGGATGTAGATTTTAAACACCTGGACTTGAAACAGCCAAGTCTCTGAAGACTATACTCAGGGGGAAGGGATGCCTCAGCATGGGCCTGCAGAGACACCCTTCCCCTCCCCTCTCACCACACCATACCTGGCTCTATTAAATATATACTTGGCTCTTTCTCATTTTTTTTTAAATAAAACACAACATAGTGGACCCAGGGGCAGCCAGGAGTGGCCTCCTGCCTCTCCTGCCCAGGAGCCTCTTTATATTTTTACCAAGGCTTCTACCAGGAAGAGGTTCTGGGCTCTAACTAGAGCCTGGGTCAGAGTTGGGTTTGGCTTGGGTACAGGTCACTGAGAGACAGCAATTGAGGGTCTGGTGTAATCTGGTTACTCATTTCTTTTCCCAAGTCCCTGGAGGACAGCCCTGATACACAGTCACTGGATTGGAAGACCTTCACATGACAGGCTCTGGTCCAAAAGGCCTGGGTAGATTAACGTGTCAAGCTGAAGGTGACAGGTTACCAAATCCTAGCACTGAGCTTTCACGAAGCTGACAAGCACAGGCTGAAGCAAGGTGCCCTGTTCCTCTCCTTTCCAATACCCAGTCTCACTTACACCCTGTTGAGGAGAGCTCCTTTGCCCTGGCCCTGACTACAGCAGGTGACCTCAGACTTCAGCTAGTCTCCCCATTCCATGCTTAAATCTGTCACCAAACCTGAGGCTTCTTGGTCAAGAGATTATTAAGAATAATTCTAAATTATTTCCGAGTCAACCCTCCCACCCCCAATGGAGCCCTAGGCTCTGAGCCCCTGTTTCCGTGCCTTTGTTTTCCATGATCTGCCCTTGGGACTCTCCTCTCTCCTCCTTTAGCTTCATGACTTAAGCAAGAAGGGACTACGGGTACCTCTAAACTGGATTCATAGATAGACCCATCATTCACAGTGAGAACACAGTGTCTAGGAACCTAACTGAGTGTGTGGAGGACTTTGCCATCATGATTGGGAGGCCTTCTGATTTCCTGTAACACTGGACCAGGATTTCAGACTAAATTTCCCGCTGACAACCTAAAAACTCTACAAATATATATATAAAAAAAAAACCCCAGTTCTTCCAACCTGTTAGATACTGAGTCGTAACGTTGGCTGCTGACACCAGAAACGATGGTGGACTGATCACTAGTATCCTTGCCTAACCAACTGCTGCTGTCATTAAAAAACTCAAGCCGGTGCTTGTAGCTTTGGAGAAAAACTCCACGGGATGATTCCTCATAGGATTTGTTTTATTTGTTTGTTTTATAGACTAACTCTACTTGGATAAAGAAGACAGCTCTTCTACATTGCTTGGGGCCTCTCTCTGGCCTGTCTCCCTACTGTACTGCTGCAAAGGAGGACACATCCTGATAGAGGCCACCACTTCAGCGGCAGCCTCCACAGTCCCTGTAAAACAACCACAAAAGGGTCTCTGCGCTGTTGAGTGTTTGGTACCACTCACCATGGAGGCTTAATCTTCATCACAGTGTTTTGAATTCATTCCTCACTTCCCTGAACTGCCTTCCTCATTTCTAAGATAGTAGCACGCATAGCAACAAGCTCAGTGTTACTGTAAGAGTTAAGTAAGATAGTGTAGCTAAAAGCACAGAGTACCATGTCCTCAGCTAGCAGTAAGTGTTTAATGAATATTAGGTATACTCATGGTTTCTGATCAATATTGACTATAAGATCTTATCACTAGGGACTAGGGAGATAATCAATAAACTGTTTGCTATGCAAGCATGAAGCTCAGAGTTTGGATTTTCAGCATCCACATAAAAGCCAGTTGTGATGGCATGTACCTGTAGTCTCAATGCTGCGAAGGGGGAGACAGGCAGATCCCTCGAGCTTTCTGGGCAACCATTCTAACTGACTCAATATGCCTCTGGTTCAGTGAGAAACTCTGTCTCAAATAATAAGGAAGGCTGGAGAGATGGCTCAGCTGTTAAAGGCAGGAGTTCTCTTGCAGAGGATGGGAGATCAGCTCTCGCACCCACGTCAGGAGGGTTATAACTGGTCTAATCCAGCTCTGAGGAGCAAAAGCGCTCTTCTGGCCTCCTCCAGCGCTGCACTCAGCATGTATAAAGCCACACTCAGATACACACATAGATGCCTAATTTTAAAAACATATTTAAGAATAAAGAAGAAAAAAGGTGAAGGGAAGAAGTGAGTGAGCTTAAGGCTACTCTAGATCATATATTGATATCATATCTCAAACAAATAAATACATGAATATAACTGGTTAACAAAAATAGGGTTCAAACCGTGCTATATACAAAAGAAGAAGGAAGACGGTGGTTGAAGAAGACAAATCACTTTGATCTCTGGTTACACATACCTGCAGACACATGTACACACTCATGTACACAAACACACAAAGTATTGCCAACATCTTCTTCAACTACATACCAATACTTGAATTTCTTTTGAAAAATTGTACCAACTCATCTTTTTTTTTCCCTATCAAGATGTACATACTTCCCCAGGAAGGAGCCTGCTCCATATTTAGATAATCTTGCCTGTTGCCAAGTACATCTTTTCAGTAAAAGGATGAAGTCTAACATCTCCTCGAAGGATGCATGAAAGATTGACACATCTTTCCACCCGCCTCACCACGCCCACCGCACTTATCACACCCACCACCCTTACCATGCCCACCTCACTTACCACGCCCACCTCACCACCCCCAGTTCTTCCCACCTGGCTGCTCTGGACAGATAGATGCTCATGGCTCCGCCTCACTTGGTGTGGGGAGTGGCCAATCCATCTCCAAATCTTATACTTCTTTAGCACCATTCCATCTCAAATATGCTTTGAGAAAGGAGTCAGGGTTCTAAATGTACATGGTTTCTTTTACCCTACTCTTAGCTAAAGCAAATAAAAAAATTTTTTTTCACACTGCTCAGTTGTACCCATCCTGTTTGGACTTGGGCAATTTATTTTCCCACTTAAGTGAACGGTCAGCCCATTTCCTTGCCTTTCGGGATGCGTTTGGAATCTGCTTCCGGCACTTAAATGTACGGTTGTCTTTCAGCATTAAGTAACTGGACTTGGGAAAGTGTGACCTTTCTGACTTCAAGTTGGGGACATATGATAAAAGTATTAGATGAAATAGAGCCAAGAAGTAACATCCTTAGGTTGCTTCCATCCACTGCCCAGGGACTCTGAAGTCTCTTCTACCCCATCTTGGTCTTAGCAGTGAGTGTTGAAGAAGAAGGTGAAGCCGTTGCACAAAAGGAGACAGAGAGATCTGCACTGGATAAGGATTGGGGTGGGCTGTGATAAGCTGAAGGTAGACCAGAACGAAAATAATGAGCAAATCAGAGGCAGTAGGAAGGGGGGGAGAATCAAGATATGATTGTGTAACTCCAAAAATGAGAGGAAGCTGGGGAGATGGCTCAGCAGTTAAGAGCACTGCCAGCTCTTCCAGAGGTCCTGAGTTCAATTCCCAGACCATACATGAAGGCTCACAATCATTTGTAACCCCAGTCCCAGAGGATCGGAGGGCAGCAGGCACAGACAAGTGGGCAAAATATTCATATACATAATACATGCATAATACATACATATAATATTATACATATTATATATACATATAATATTATACATATTATATATTATAAGAGGGAGAGAGAGAGAGAGGAAGTAGATAGGGATTTACAGAGAATTTTACAGTCTAAGGTGGATGACGAGAAAGAAAGAAAAAGTGGTTGGATAACTGAAGGATAACTGAACAGCCACAGTTCCCCTATGGCTAAGAGGTTTTCAGGATTTAGCATGTCCACCAGGGGCTGAGAATGACCTCAGGCAGACAGGAAAGACCTTCTCAATCAAGCCCTTTTGATTCTCAGCACGTTGATTTACAGAAGGGTGTTTTCACTTCCTGAAAACCTCCAGGCACAAGGAAGATGCACACCGGACTTTGCTCAGCACACCTGCCTTTCAAGGGCAAGATGGATCTAAAATAAGCCTTGCCAGCAAGCCAAGACCCCGCTGTTCTATAAAGCTCCAGCTTTACTGTTTGAAATCTAACAGAAGCCCATCATCTCTTCTCATCTTAGGATCTAAACGCATGGGAAAGGCAGCCCCATGGTAGTGTGTATGGATCCTCCTGAACACAAAGCTTCACACATTCAGTGAACCACCTTCTAGGGCTTGAATGTGCCCCTATGAAGCTCCTGTCTTTGGTGGTCTCTCGGTGGTGAGTCCTTTGGAAAGTAGTCAAGATCCAATGACATCATGAATGTGAAGCTCCATAGAGGAATTCATAGTTTTATAAGACAGAGAGCACTGGACATAGTGGAACATACATTTTAATCCATGCACTTGGGAAATAGAGGAAGGAGGATCAGGAATCAAGGGCTAGCCTCAGTTGTATAGCAAGTTTCAAGCCAGCCTTAGATCTGTCTCAAGTAGAAGGCAAGAGGTGGGAGCAGAGCTAGCACATTTGCTGTGTAGCCCCTGTGATGCTTTCCACAGAGTTAGAAGGAGTCACTAAAAAGCATCCCCCCACCACCACCCCAGGTGCTAGGACCTGAATATTGCAAGTCTCAGCTTTCAGAACGATGTCCAAAACACACCTCTCCTTCATGTGAATTGCCTGTCCTTTAGCCTTTAGTTGTGGCAACAAGACACCAAGATACTAGTACTGACATTGGAAGCAGGTTGTAGCCAAGTTTCAAATTCATTGTCAATAAAGTGACTCTGGGGCAAGAAGAGCCAGCAGCAGGTTATTTGATGATGGAATAAAGTCTGGAGTGAGCTATCTGTGCAACCTAGGGCGGGCATTGAGTGGATTTCTAGGTCATTGTCTCTTCCTTTGGAAAACAGAAATGAATTTGATGCTGTCTCAGTTTGGTCCTTGTCCTACCCCATTACTGAGGGAAGTCTGGGCAGGACCTCAAACAGACACTTGAAGTGGAGACAGGAATGGAAGCAGATGCTGTGATGGAGTGATGCTCACTGGCTCACTTGCCACACTCATGTGTAGCTACTTTTCTTATACCTACCAATGAGTTATAGTCACTACAGCAGACAGACAGACTGCTTATCATCACATTTATTAGTTTCTCTCTCTCTCTCTCTCTCTCTCTCTCTCTCTCTCTCTCTCTCTCTCTCTCTCTCTCTCCCTCTCTCTCTTTCTGTGTGTGTGTGTACAAGTTGTAGGAGTTATTTTACTCCAACATGTAGTCCCAGGAATGGCAGAAAGTTCCTTTATCTATTGAGCCATCTTTCTGGCATTTATCATTATTATTATTGTGTGTGTTTTATTGTGCGATTATATACATGTGTGTGTCCATGTGTCTATGTAGATGCATGTAAAATGTGTAGGTGTGTGCACAGAAGCCAGAGGTTGACATCACGTCTCCTCCTTAACTGTTCTTTTTATTTTTATATTGTTTATATATCGATATACTATATTTTAAGATGGTTTCACTCACTGAGCCCGGAGCACACCAATTGGCTAGACCGGCTAGGTAGGGAGCTCTGGGGATTCCACCTCTGCCATTAGTGCTAGGAGTAGGGCTGCAGTGTATGCCTTTTCCATTGGTGCCTGCCCTCATGTGTGTCTTCTATCTATTAAATTATCTCCCTGGCCAGCCCTACACATTTAAAATGTATTTGTACATTTTATGGAATCGCCTGCATTCCATTGCAGAGGCATATTACATGGAAAGAACAACCTTGTCCCCAATACCAGTAAATAAATCTTGATTAGTCTAAGGCAATTCTGTTCATTTTATTCTCCTTGTCTAGTAAATAGTTTAGGAAGGGATGGGGTCACCAACTTGGGACAGGAGACTTTAAGAGAAAGTTGAGGTTGGGATGGGTTCTGGGAAACAGTCCACAGGTTCACAGAGTTACAGCTATGCCTTACCTCCACATGTGTCTTGGAAGAAGAAGCAGGTTATTGAGTTCAAGGCCTGCTTGGGCTATGCAGTGTGTTCAAGATCAGCATGGGAAACATAGTAAGATGTTGCCTCAAAGTTAAAGCCGAAAGGGGACCAGGATCCTTGTGGCCCTTACATTTAGGTGGTCTCCCAGTCATCTGCAAGAAGGCTCCCAAAGTGGACAGGAAATCTGAAGATCCAGTCTTGGGAGTGATTCAGATGAACAAGGCCAAAGAAAAATAGCAAGAGAGACCGAAGATGTTCCCACCCCCACTTGGGCCCTCCCCCATCCCCTGCCCTTCCTGTGGGTCTTATGAGTGATTTGTGGATTCAGAGTAGATGGAGGCTCACAGGTGGAACCAAAAGGCTGTCATTCTGTGATCCAACAGAGTAATCCAGGTAGAGCTCCACACTACACTACTGTCACCCCACCCCCACCCCCACTCCACAGCCAGGGTGACATCCAATTGTCCCTGTGCATCTGTGGTGGCTTTAGTCACATAAGCACACTGTTTAACTCTACAATATAACATTGCATCTGTTTTTGGCTTCACTTGGGGGAGGGAGGAGGCTGCCTTAGTCATTTTATATAAGGAATTGACTGACCCAAACATTTGGTACTATTTAATTAGAACAAATGGAAAACATAGTTGCTGTACAAAATGGGAATTTCGTGAGGCAGGAGCATGAACAGAATGAGAGGCCACAACCTGTGTCCTTGACCATGGGCATGGAAAGGGATAGTCTAAGCATTGCCATGGTGACTGGTAATCCTTGACCATCAGCTGGCAAGACACATACCTAGAAATAGTTTGTAAAGTCCAACAGCCAGACCTAGTCAATAGAATG